CTGGCCGAAAGTCACCCAAATTATTTTATGATTCTTGGGTATTAGGACATGGCTGTCCCCAATTCCAGCCTGACACTTTAATCTCTGCATCTCTACTGGCTTTCAAAGCTGTTATTAATCATGTGGGTGGATGGGAATATACATATCAAATAAGCCAATGGTCAACAGGTGGTTCTATGCATCAAAGCCCTGCTCCCTCTAGCAGGCACTGACTCAGAGGCAGCACTCTGGCTTCCCTGCCATATGTTCTCTGGGGCCTGCCTCTAAGTGGGTGCCCACCAGTGGGAGTGAGTGCTGAGCTGCAGAACACCTGTTGGGCCACTGGCTGAACCAGCAGCTCATGGCCATCTCTTGTCTCAAATAGATATGATACATAAGCATATAACACCTATTTATAGAAGCATAGCAGCTTAGTGTTATGTGCCACTGTTTGTATAACAAAGTCTGTATTAACAAGGTAACCAGAATCAGATCAGATCCTGATACAAACTTCCATGGGTTTTTTTTTTTTTGAGGTGACAAAATAAGGAAACATAGTTTCAAACTTCAGTATACCAAGGGATGGAAAGTTTACATCATCTTCCCATTCATGTGAAGTGGAGTGTATGACCATTGATTCTCACAACAGATCATGGTATCCAATTATGCCTAAATGGGACCAGTTTCTATTGCTTCTTGAGTGCAGGCATCAAAACAGAGTCTTCAGTGTGATGGGGCCGATATTCAATAGACAGAAGAAAAGAGGTATGATTCTGTCTAATCATTAACAGTCCTAACTGACTAAAACCTTTGGTAGTTACTTAGAAGTAACCATAAACCTTGTGACATTCCAGTTTATCTGTTTGTGATACTGAAACTTGCTTTGTTCAGATGTCAGGTTTGATGGACACCCTGTATACCTTTGTGGAGAAGATATGCTTGCAGACCCTTTGCAAGGAAAAAATTAATACACTTGATAGCAGTTGCTGGTTTCTCTGAAGTTGTTTTCTGTCCCACATTTAATTTGAAATCTTTATGCAACTGCTGAATGAAATTGTCCAGTGATTTGCATGTCTTTTTCACCAATACAACCACCTATTTTTCCTTTTCATCTGAGTCTGATAAGATACAGTAGCTATCTCTAATTAGTACTGGGCTGAATGAGCATGAATTTGAAGATTTACTTTTTCAACAATGACTTTCAATATTCCTGGGTCAGGAAGGCCACGGCCATGCTAGCTCAGGGATTCTGAGAGTTGTAGCCTAAAAAAAGGAAGTTTCCCAAAGTCTTGGGTGAACAAAACAAGAGCCAAATTGAATGTAACACAGGAGACACTGAATGAATTTTTCTGTGATTATTTGACATCAAATAGCAACCAATGACTAAAATCCTCTAGCCATCCTTCATAAGGCTGATGATGCCAGCAACTGCTGTGATTTTTCAGAAATTAACATTTCCAACCTCTCCCCTAAAGGTGCTGAGGCTCCCATGGAATTCCTTTCATCATTGGGAGTCCATTGGAGGCATGAAATGAGTAAGTCTTTAATTACTAAAAATTGTTCCTGCTATTGAAGTCATCCTAATGATATTGATTTTTGGTCATTAAAGACTTTCCATCTTCCATCTTGCAATCTCCCATAGTTTCTGAACAATGAAAACAGTTATATGGGAGTTTCAGCAGATTTGGAGAAGAAATCAGAAATGTTTAAATTCCAAAAAAAAGGCCACGGCTGATGATATCATCAGCCTTACACATTGTAACTCATGGCAACAGGATTTCCGGCACTGGACATAAATGATTTGCATCATCATTCAGAGGTGAGAGTTAATCCTTTCTCTCCACTCCACTGCCCCATTAAAATCCCATCTGCTATTACAGATGTCATATTAATTTCTTCATGTTTTCCACCAGGGGGCAGATAATAGCTTTAAGGGAAGGATTTTAATGAAAGGGGGAATGAATGACAGGAAGAAACACTGAAACTTTTCCCTCATCATCATGGCCTCATTCCTAATGACCTCTCCCTGAATAGCTGATGTTCAGTTAAAAAGAACAGAGAGAAAGTTAGCTCAGCTGCATGACATGAGGGTGAGTGGCCATCAGCACAGCCATGATCCTATTTCTACATGTAACGCAAGTGTGTAAGGCATGAAAATGGCTATTGATGATATAGTTGTTATTAGAGGAGGTGTTTCTGTTAGCATATTGACGGTCTATGGCTGGTCTTGGTTATGTTCAGGTGACTTTAGTAGCCACCAGATGTCCCTTTCACCAGTTTTAGCCTGTTGTGGCTTGCCTTGTCACATGTATGGAGAGAACTTCCCTGTTTGGCTAATTGTAATGTTCCTGTATGAAACTGACTTTAAAGACAGCTGAGCTGATTTAGCTGTTTCAGAATGAGGTGATCCTGCTGTTGACCACAGCTAGTTGTACTGAGTTTACACGTACACATGGGCAGTTGTATTGGTTGCAACTAGTTTTTGAATTTAAATGCTGATGTTAATCTTTAAGGCCCCTAACAATCTGGGCCTGGGATAACCAATACTGTAGTTTTCCTCTGTACAACTGTCTTTGTACCACACATTCATGCGAAAGAGCTTTACTTCATGTGTGTCCGTTGTTTGAAACAGGTCTCTCTGCTCTAAAGTGCAGGGCATCTTCAGTAGTTGCACCCTATCTAAGCTGAATCTTGTTTTCAAAGTAATTTAAGATACAGCTGTGTGGAAAGGATGAGCAGGTGAAGAAGAGCTGTGCTAGGTCACAGCAAAGACAATATATAAAGCCATCATGAGCAGTAGTCTTTGAGTAAAGATGGCATGTTTATGTTACACCAGTGGTTTTGTTTTATAATTTTAATAGCGGACTTTGAATATTTTTTAAGTCTAGATGTGGAGAAAGAGAAGAAAAAGGCACACATTTTGCTAAAGTTAGGGAAAGGTTGGTATAAAAGCAATTGTACATATTTTGCTAAAGTTAGAGAAAGGTTAATGTGAAATTGAATGACCAAAGTAGCAAGCAGACACCTCCTTAGAAATTTGCTAATCCTCATGATTTAGCAGCACGAGGAGGCATAATTTGTAGTTGTTTCCTTGGCATTTAGTGAGCTTTTTTTTCAACAGTTCAAAATCCCTAGTAGTTATATTGTACATGTGCTGAACAATAACAACTCAGTGTAACACAATGTAATGGTCATAGCAAAATGTACAGAAAATTCAAGCAGCATTTGCTATTACAGGTTTATTGTATGCCATTCCACATACCATTTCAAGTGCTTTAACAGCTAACCATAACAGACACAATCCAATTGAAGTTAAAATGTTTAAGCTAAAGCATTTCTAATATATTTTATTTCAGTGAGAGACCTAAGACAGTGAAATTAATGGGAACTATGGATTACATAGTTAATTTTGGCTGAATTATGATTTAATATATTGATTAACAGTATCTGTGTTGATTTGACAGTTTAATAAGAAATGCCAATTGTCTGGGGTTTATTAACATCTGATATTTGTTTATTTATATCCTACTTTTCTTCCATGCAGAGCCCGAAATAGCTTATAACATAAATTTACAAGATAACTTCAGTTTTTTTAAAAAAGCAACACAACAAATTATAATGTTGAAATAAATTACCAAATTGAAAGAACTGTACAATTAATACAGCTTAAAACAATTTAAAACAGGTTTAAACCATTTAACAAGAACAGCAAACCAACATCCAGCATTATATGATCCATATCAGTAGCCATGTATGTATGTATGTATGTATGTATGTATGTATGTATGTATGTATGTATGTATGTATGTATGTATGTATGTATGTATGTATGTATGTATGTATGTATGTATGTAGTTCCAGAGTGAGAGCACCACTGAGAAGGCCCTCCCTGCGTCCTCTGTTAGTGGTAGGACGGAAAGAAAGACAAGATTGACCTGGACAGAATGAACAACAAAAAGAGGTAAAATGAAAATTATTATTTGATGAGAGGTTACTGTTTGGAAATAAGGCTATTTAATGAAGGAAACTATTGCATTACAGGAAATGGCATGCCAGAAATGTACAATGAAAGCAAACACACACACATGCACACACAAGAGATTGTTTATAATTACATTTCTAATATGTGATTATAAAATAAATATACATGTACAAAGCTGATTATAAAAATGCAGTCATGTAGCATCCTTGCAACACTGGCAATTTCATTAACAATACAAACAAGAATATCTTTTAATAGCTGTGATTAATATGGTAATTTAATCCCTAAATTCACTTTTGACCTGTCTTCATTATCTACTAGCCTTCCAAGACTTGTGTATTTTGATTATTATTAGAGGCAAACGTGAACAACTATTGGCTTTTGTATTTTCAAGGGACCAGTGGCCAAGCCTCCTCCATCCACCCTCCTCACACGCCGTCAGGATTTTTACTTTCAAACCGTTCATTGTTTCAGGTGGCCCTTCCCTTATGTCTAGTAGTTATTTTCCTCATTCTCTATTATTGCGCCATGTCAAGCCTGAAGAATACTTCTTTGAAATTCGAAAGTCTGCACATTCCGGCTTAGTTTTTCATTGGACCCAGCGTAAGTATCTCCTGCTGGTGCTACTGTTTCGATTATTTCCCCCACCCGCCCACAAATGGTGCAGCACAGACATTGTTCGTAAGCAGAGATGTAAAATTTCCGAAATTTCAGGGGGAAAAACCGTGTGTTTTTTTGGGTTTTTTTTTTTCTGGAAAAAAAAACGAAATTTTCGGAAATTTTACATCTAAGCCGGCCTGTACGGTCAGTGTTGTGTGGGATTTCGGACACACTCCTGAACCTCATGTTTTCTTTTCAAAAACAAACAAAAAAAAACCCCCAATGAGATCGGAACAAAACCCGCTCCTCCCTGCGCGCGCCTTCGCTCTGATCTTCCCCGCAGAAACTCGGAAGCGGGAAGCGCTAGGACCGGGCGCGCTCCGAGAGGCCGGCTGGCTTCGGACGGGAGGGGAGTCTTATATGCAGAGAAGGCGGCTGCTGCCATTTCCACTCAAGCTCCCCGCACTCCCCGCTTGATAGAGAAAGGCGGAGGGAAAGAGAGGGAGGCCACGCGGGCGCGCGCGGGCGCGTGAGCGAGCGAGCGAGCGAAGGGGGGGGGCGTCGAGATTACGGAGCCTGACTGAACGGAGGCGCTCGGCTGCCAAGACTCACACACACTGCCTGCTGCTTCGGCTGCTGTTTCTACTCTGGACAAGTGAGGGAAGCAGCCCGAAGAAAAAGAAGAAGGAGAGGGCAGGCGGAGGGGGGGTGAGGGGGGGGTAAAGAAAAAGGGAGACGACAGCTCGAGCTTGAGAAAGAGAGAGAGCGAGGGAGGGAAGGAGAGAGAGAAGGAGGAAAGAAAGCCCCCAAGGCGAGCAGGAGAAAGGGACCCCCGTCCTTCTCCCTCGAGACTCTCTCAATGGCGCAAGGAAAAGGGCTGAAGCTGAAGAAAGTGTGAGGGAAGGGAAGGATCCTGAACTTTCAGCGCCTCAAAGCGAATCTGGGAAGCGAGGAGGAGGAGGAGGAGGCTGTCGCCTTTTTAAGCCCTGGCCACTTAAGCCCCCGCAGGAGGTTCCATGCACTATTCCAAGCTTTTTCTGGTTTCCTTCTTGAGGTAACTTTTTCTTTTTGCGGGGAGAAGGACTTGTGGCTGCTGCTGCTGCTGCTGGAGGTGCCTGCGAGGTGAGCCTCGAAAGAAGACGACGAGAGAAGGAAGGACGGAGAGACGAAAAGAGAGAGAAGAAAGTTTGGGCTTTTTTGTTGTTGTTGTTGGGTGGTGTGGCTTTTTTGGGGGGGAAGACCTCTTTCTTCCGTGTCGCTTGGTTTCCTGCCGTTTCTTTGCGGAAAAGAAGATGATCTGGAAGAGCAGCTGCTGCGGCCGGGGGGTCCGGAGCGGAGGGGACTTGCTGTTGCTGCTCACCCTCCTGCTGGGTTTCTTGCTGCCCGCCTGCCGGACTCGCCTGTACACCAACCACTGGGCGGTGAGGATAGCTGGCGGGATCGAAGAAGCCAACCGGATAGCTAGCAAGTACGGCTACATCAATATAGGACAGGTAACCCTCCGGCGGACGGGCCACGCGCGCGCGCGAGAGAGAGCTCCCTCCCTCCTCCCCCCATCCACCCCGGTCTCTCCCTCCAGCCAGTTCTCCTCACTCCCGGCGGGCGGGCTGGCGGGCGGGCAGGCACACATCTGCAAGAGCTGCTGCTGCTGCTGCTGGTGCAGGCAGAGGGGAAGGGGCGGAGAAGAGACAGTGAGAGAGAGAGAGAGAGAAAGAGAGAGAGAGGGACGCCCTCCCCTCCTCTTCCCTCCCTCGATCCCAGGTCACCTCCTGCAGGCTGTCACAAAGGGCATTGAGCCGGGCAGAGCGCGCCCTAGGGCGACGCGGAGGGCAGGTAGAGAGAGAGAGAGAGAGAATGGTCCGGCCAGGTCTCTCCTCCTCTCCGCCTCTGCTTTTGGGTCCCGGAGGGAGGGGCGCTCCAGAGTTCCCGAGGGACGACCGGCTCTTCGGGGCACTTGGCTGGGCCGCCAGCTGCATTCTGGATCCCGTGGTTGGGAGTTGGTTCCAGGAGAAAGGAAAGGCAGCCTGGTTTAAAAAAAAAAAAGCCACACACACACACATACATACACAGAGAATGGCTGGAGGAGCTGGTGAGGAAGGAGTTTTGATGACGAGGAGATTCGTGAGGAGGGGGGGACGAGTGGTTCGGATGCTCCTTTAAGAAGCTCTCTGGCCTCCAGGCAGGATCTGGGGGGCGATGTTGGGGATCTCTTCAACGGGGTGGGTCGGAGAGGGCCAGTCAGATGAAACAGAGGCTGGTGGCAGGACGTCAAGGAGCTGTTTCCAAACTTCGGTGTGACGAGGTTAAAGGAGGGAGGAGGAAGAGACCGTCTGCATCTGGCGACGGTTTTCTCCGTACTCCTTGTTAATTCCTCAAAAAGAGAGGTGCTGGGGGTCAGTCTTGCCTGCCCGGAAGCAAAGCCCATTGATTCGGAAACCCAGTGATCCTGGTAATCCCAGTATCGTGTGGGTTGTGCCAATGGTGGCTCAGGAATGCTCAGGAACACTCGGTCTGTGCTTATTTCACATACCCCAGGACGAGGGTTGAGTTGTCCCGCCTTGTGAATCTTCCCAGGCCCCGCTCCTTTCCAGGTCTTCTCTCACACTCCTTCCTCATCACCTTTGGCTTAAAACAGCTAATTAAGGAAACGTTAACAGATCTTAAGGACTGTAAATCCAGACAGCGTGGGGATGTGAGGTTGGTAAGAAAAATCAGTCCCAGTTTCCTCCTTGATAGTAAAAGCAAAACACTGAGATCCGGGGCGCCACAACAAGGGCACAGGGATAAAAGCACAGCGAGACTTCAACCAGGCGGATTTCCCAATTGCCTTTGGAATCCTGCCATTCCCCATCTCAAGCGGGGGTCCCTAGTCAAGAAACCAGGAATGTGATGCATCTGCCTTGATTCCCCCCCCCTTGTCTCCTGCTTTTAGAATTGTGGAGGGGGCATTTTGATGGTGGGGCTTGCTTTTGGCAAGTAATGATCAGCCGCAGGTTGTTATTTACATGCTGGCCCTTCCCCATGTCCTCAACTCTCCCTTGATCTTTGCTCTGTGAACTTTCAGTGCACCAAATAAAAATGAAAATTCCAAGAAGCAGATGGTGTCCCCTCTCGTACAAGGACCAAGTTTTTGCTGGGCTTCTGCCAATGCAGCAGAGAAAGGGAGGATTTTGGACCTAGAACTGTGCCAGGACTCAACAGGACTGAGCCCTGGAACTTTTCACTGCTAATGCTGGTGCAGTAATAATGAATGTCAATGAATGGAAATAGCATCTTTCCTTTGCCACAGAATAAGATAAACTTGCCAGTGCCACAGATTCGAAATCTGCTGCTGAATTGTCTGCCTAGCCCATCTGTATACTCCCCATAGTGGCCAAAATGTGTGAAACATGAGCACAAGAGCACTTCCTCTCTTGTATTCTACAGTAACTGGTGTCCAAAGAAATAGCACCTCTGATGATGCAGTTAATAACTGTCATGACTAGTGGTAACTGATAAATGTTATGTGTAGTCCCATTTTAAAGACATCCACTTTGGTAGTCATCATTATATGTTGCAACTTTCTTTGCTACTCCACATTGTCTTTGTGCTAATTGTGGAAGATATTCTGAAAAGTTGGGGGTTGTTTTTAAAAGAAAAGGATATTTTATAGAGAAGGTGGCTCAGCAGAAGAAATGTTCTGTGTCTGCAACTAGCAATTCAAGGACAATGTGCCTGGCTCTTCACTGCATAGAGTTAACTTCCCAAAGAGATTTATTTAAACACTGTTGCTACTGTCTGCCCAATCCATATATGGAACTGGTATTGAATTTCTTTGATACAGGTGTATCTGGGACCTTAAAATTTGGCTTGAATTAAAATTGATTAAAATAAGTTGACACTGATATGACTACATATAGTTAATTTGGAAACACAGTGACTTTTTAGAATCCTCTGATGTTTAGTTAACAAACACCTGGAATTGGCTAAATCCAAAAACACCCAATGAGAAAATACTTGGGTACAAACACTTCTAAAGATTAAGTAAAGAAACACCTGCTGGATCTGGTCACACTCAGAAAACACTGTTGCTACTTTGTCATTCTAGACAAGATGGTGGTGGTGGTAAAGTACAGGATTCTCAAATCTGACACAGACTCTGTGAGGACAGATCACACATCTTATACCACTTAGCCCATTAAGTGTGCAGTATGTTGCCCAACACATTAAAAGTAGCACGGCAGAAACAACAGCCCAGCATTCTTTATTACTTCAGGACCAGTACAGAGTAAGGTTTCTTTCTGGTTAACATATTTTATTACACTAATTAAATGGTAAGGCACAAGCTTTAATCTGTACAATATAAACCTTTATTTGATGCTGCATGAATTTGCAAAATGCAGCTGAACTATCATAATGAGTCCCCTTCCCCCGATTCACTTAGATCAAAGGACAGTAACACTTGTTCCATTGTTGTTTGTATCATAAAATCAGTTCACACATACTGTATGATTACAGTAAATATTTCAAATACACCCTATAATATCTAATCTGGAGACCTTCCTTCATCTTCTGTGGAAATAGAGTGTTAAAGTATGGGTAATTGTAAAACTATTTACATCATAAAAATATAAAGTTTCTTGAGTTCTGTAACCATAAAACATGGTTAAAAGAGGCTAATTTATAGCCTGACATGCTGGCAGGCGGACAACCAAAGTTGATAGTGCTTAGATCAATGAGTACAAACATGCAAACATTGAAGTGTTTTCCTGTATTTTATGTCTCTTAGCAGCATAATTTGCATCTCTTACTCTTCAGATTTCCATAGCTGATTCATAGTCATCCAATAGTAAAACAACACATTGTTTAGATAAAGAAATATTATAGGCTTGCAAAAGTGTGTTTTCTCATGTTTGATGGCTCCATTGTAGCTTTTTTGTATTATGTACTGTATTGGTGTTTAGGCTAGGAAGGTGTATTTCACATACTCATAGCACTTAAATGCAGTTACATAAGCAGCAGTTTCTGACTATGTACACAAACCAATGGTAATAATAATAAAATTTTGGTTGAGCTTAGACATGTGGAGTGTATTAGAAAAATGGATTAACAGAAGCAGGCATGAGTGCAAATCATACCCAAGGGTGTTTGTAGATAATACTGTATTGGTTTGAAATATCATGAGTAGCTGCTGATAGCTATTTCATCTAACCATGGTTCTTGGTTCATTTCATGTTTGCTTTTAATTTTTTTTTAATCTTGGAAAATAAGCTTCTACCTTTTAATAGGTCCGGTTGATATAGTTAGAAGGGTGTGCAGCTGTTTGTATTAAAACTTTTCATTGCACATAATGGACATATTCTTAGTAACAGTCAAATATTACTCATTGATTTGATTTCAGAGAGGCCATAGTACTGCTTATATTATATCTATGTGTTATATTGTTCTATTCATGGATAAATATGGACTTCTACCCTGACCTAAGAATGCAAGAGCTTTGATTTCTTGTTTGACTTTGTATCCCACAGGACAGCAAATACTCCCAGTCATATCTTCTAACAGATTTACATTTAGGACAAAGAGGTCAGAAAGGGAGTAATCACATTGTCAGTAATTTTCCTTCAGAGATTAACAAGCTGTTCTGGCTCCTAATCATTTTTCTCCATGGGTTTGTAGAAGAAACAATGGATAATTTCATGCATATAATTAGCATTGGGTCATGTTAATAAGTACTGTACACCACATGCTAGACTGATAGATGAAGGCTTTCTGAATTTGTTTCTTCTCAGACCCCAAGATATATTGGCAAGCATCATATCTGAGAGGGAAAAATACATCTGTGATAACTTTTTCTCTATATACAGTTACTTCCAGTTCTACCGAATTAAACTTACTCATTAACTTGAAAGTTTATATACTCCTGTGCAAACAAATGAGACCCTGTGAAAGATAGTGCTGAAACAATTTTGGTTGTGTTTTGCTTTTTGAATTCTGTGCAACCAACACAGCAATGGCAGCTTATAATAAATGGAACAGTGGCTCTGTGCTCACCTTCCAGAAGCCCCCCCCCTTTTTTTGGCAGGAAACTGTATCCCGTTTTTAACTTTACAAAATAGGCTTTATACTTTACAATTTCTGATCCTTACAAACAATTCATCTTTTTTATTAATACTTTACAGAATATGCATTTAGAGTGTGCTAATAATGATCCCTCTTTTAAAAGAAAAATACATGTTACACATCTTTAATCAATAAAAAGAAGTAACTGGATAAATAACTTTATTTCACATATCAAATGTTGATGGCAACAAAACTTACATATTGAGGCAATAGTGGCTTTTGTCCTTTGTTGCTAGTAGAGCAAAGGGAAGGGTTTCTCATAGGAAGAGGAAAGGGTAAAGAAAAAAAGAAAGTGAAGCATGTGAACTTTGAGATGATGCTTGCAAAGTAATTGGGTGTTTAGGGGGAAGCATATGCTTGGAATAACATAGAAACGTAGTCTTTTGAATCCACA